TACTACCAATTTAATATTGGGAGAGCAGCACAACCATTCTGAATAAAAAACAAATAATTTGATCTTATCACAAGACAGAAAATACTTATTTAAAATGTAAGTTAGGGTATAACTAACTATTAACAGGAAAATTTCATTGACAACTACAAGGCATGTGGCTTATGAAGGATAACCATGAAAGACACAATTACTGTAGAGTTTTTGTGCTGTATTTTAAAGCAGTAGTAAACCCAAAAGCAAACATTTATTATACTGCAGCTTACCAAATTTTAGACTTGGTGGCTGCATTAGTTTTCTTTTTCAGCTTTATTTCTTCTATTTGCATCTGGTGATTCAGCCAGTAAGTCTGTTGTGGTTCAGAAGCTCAAGCTATCCAGCAGAAAGCATCAGTTTACACAGATGAGACTATTCAACGCTGACAGGGGTGATTAAAATGGACAGCTTTTATGTACTCATGTAAAAACGTTATCCCAAAAGAAAAAAATACTGTTTACTGTAACTGATTATAAAGTGTTAGTTGGATTTTGTCTTCAATTTCTTATTGTATTCAAATTTGTTAATACATTTAACACGCCCATCCCACCCAGACTGACAATGCTGCCGTCTGTTGTGCCCTGTACTCATTCCTCTAGAGAGGTGTCTCACTAATACTAGAAGTGTGTTACTGCCCAGATCAGCAGGTGAAAACAGCAGGAAAAAGCCAAAGTAAACTGATGCAGCCACCACATCTAATGATATGTAAGCTGCAATATAAGACATTTTTTATTAAAAAAAATAAATATATATATATTTATTATTATTTTTTAAATTAATATTATATATTTATTTATATACAGTATATAAAGTGGAGCGGTCAATCCCTTTGTATATTAAAAGTGAAACACAATAGAGCCTTTTGAAAACAGAAAGATCTGCATGTCTTACACAAACACTATTCCTCATTTTAAGACAGAATGCAGAGTTGCTGTTTCATTTCAGTCTGCCTCACCATAACCTATGTAGATATACAGTACTTCATTTGTCCCCAAGCCTTATTCCATACAAACCATGGTTTTCATGCACTGCATTTACAATGGCCAACAAACCTGAAAAGCTTTATTCAGTTCAGAATAATTTGCTTTATGACATTAGTCTGTTTCTATGTATCCAGTAATTTTGAATTCACAATTTTGCCCATTATTCTAAAATAAGGAGTGAACCCCTTATTTTTTTATTTTTTTTTTGGTGAAAGCGAGACATGTTTTAAAAAGGAACTACTGTGCTTTGCATTGGTTTTTTGGAGAATTTTAATTCCTTTATTCAAACTCGCTATAACTTGTTTGGCTATACGTTTTCCTTTATTTGCAAGAAATTCTTCACTATATGTTAGAAGTATATCAAGTGATCTGTATCCCAAAGGTAACCATAGTATCACAAACAATGTTCCTTCTCTGCACAGTATTACAGAAAATGTATTTTATTAGGGCAGACTAAACCACACATGGTTCTTCCATTCTTTATTGTTTAACAAAAGGTTTTGACAGTTAATAGTCATGTCTGACAGTGGAAAAAGGTAGCTTAAGATTTGCACAGTAAAGTAATATTGTTCCTTCGTTTGGCGAAGGAGCAAACCATTTGTGGAAGAATGGTAACACAAGAACACAATGAGCTATTAGGTGTTCTATGACAATGTAATGTTAAGAACAGTCATATGTAACATTGCTGATAACAATTTTTTTTTTTTAAATCAGGGAATAGGTGCAGGTCCTCACATATTCTCCCCTGAGCCCTGGAGGAGTGGAGTAAAGCGGCATATTGAATCAAATGGTGGGTGTTGCCAAGTTGCACAAAAGGTGGGAGGGTCTTAAATGGACATGGTTAAATAAAATGCATGCACTGTATACAAGGTATACTTATACCCCAGTCTTCACAGTGTGCATTAATTACTATGTTACAAGTGAGAGTCCATTCTTTCCATTGTGCACTTGACCTCTGAAAGGTTTTACCCCCTTCATGACCAGGCCATTTTTGTTGCTATTCAGCACTGCGCTAATTTATCTGGCAACACTGTACCCAATGTATTTGATCACCACTGAAAACTTAAAAAAAAAAATCAAATTTCCTACTTTCTGTTATAAAATATATCCAATAAAGTTAAATTTCTTCTTAACATTTAGGCCAAAATGTACTCTGCTGCATGTCTTTGGTAAAAAAAAACCCCTGTTAAAATGTCAGGTTTCCGTGATGTAAAAAAATGAGACAATTATTATTATTATACAGGATTTATATAGCGCCAACAGTTTGCTCAGTGCTTTACAATACAATGGGAGACAATACAGCAACAATACAGCTCAATACAAGAGGGATAGGAGGGCCCTGCTCCTCGGAGCTTACAAACAAATAATTTCAGAACTTTTTCCACCTGTGACCTATAAACTGTACAACTCAACTGAAAAAAAAAAATCCCAGTAAGTGTATATTAATTGGTGTGTGTGTAATTTAGACCTTCTACAAAATATGGTATATACTGTATATTTGAAAATGAATCAATCCTGATGTACCGACGGCTAATCTAATTTCTTAAGGCCCTAAAATGCCAGGACAGTACTATTGCCATTCAAATAACCCCTTTTTGGAAAGTAGATAGTCTGAGGTATATAGCAAGAGGCATGGCGAGTTTTTTTAAGTTGTAATTTTTTGTCCTAATTTATTGGCAAATGAAGAGTTTGTGTTTTTTACTTTTTTTTTCTACATACTGTCACCAGTGCAGTACCGAATCAGCATATGACTGCTGTGGCAGTGATTAGAGATACTGACTGATGACAGTATGTAGAAAAAAATGTTTTTTTACCTTAACCATTTTTTTTTGTACATCCTTTCATCAGAGTAGTTCAGTTTCACCATAATGACACTGAACTACTCTGGGGGAGAATGTGGGGGGGGGGGTGATCAGGTTTTTTTTTTCACACTGTTATTGCTTATACAGTGAAGATCATTGTATAAGCAATAGCTTTAACTGTCATTAATGGGTTTCCCATTGATGAACAGCTTGCTATTGATTCTGATCTGTGATTGGCTAATCTAATCACATGGCACAGGTAGCCAGGTACCATGTGATTGCTGTGGGCCATTCACAGTTCACAACGGTAGACAAGCTGGAAAGCCATTCATGACAGGTTGTTTACATTTTTATCATGTGATTGCAGTGACCAGTCATAGCAATTACATGATATCTGGTTACCGGTAATAGTGATCCGTGTGTAGTAGGCATAGCAATCACAAGAGGGGCATTACAGGTGCAGGCAGGTGCTGCCCTGCCTCAGTAAATGTACTGTGGTGGGGCAACAATTGGTTACATTTTTTGTTTCAGCTTACAATAGAACATCATAAAATAGACAGTGACTACTTGGCAATCAGCAACTTTTGAGACAATACACTTTGTTCAGAAGTATTGATGGTCTGTGGCTGGCTGTAAAATGAATTCTCCCCACTTCCCCAGCATTGGTGGCTAGTGGCTGTCTTTAAAAGTGGCTAGCTAGAGCAATAATCCTCCCAGCAGCATTGATAGACAATCGCTGCCTGTAACCAAGACCACCATCACAAATTGTGGAGCCCCCTATGGTTCTTCTGTTGGTGCCCCTATCATCCCCCCTAAAAATTGTCCTCACTGTCTAGTGTGGGAAATGTGTTTTATTCCATAGTGGTCTAATGAGGTACTTCACTGTTGCATCCTTTTGAACTATCAACGCTCCTGCCTACTATACAGTGGTGTCATTTTGACCCTAAATAGAAACCAACCAGTAGAGACACTGAAAACAGTACAGGGATGCAATTTCAACACTCCTACCTCATTTAACAATGTCTATACTAACAGGAGGCAACCTGGAGACATGAAGTAAAGTGCATTGAGTAATGAGATACAATTCTCACACATTTCCTACAAATTTATTTGTACTACGGCTTTTATTGGAGTGTTTCAAATTTAGACATACACAATAGATGGTAGAAAGAGCTCATAACAACATTTAGGTTTGTAAGAAGGCAAAGCCCAACAGGTAAGAGCAATACAAATACGCTCACATAACTATGAACAGTAGTGTAGATATTCCCTCTACCAGGAAAAGGAAAGTAAAAGAGAGTGGGGGAAAAAAAGGAGAAAGTGGTATGTAGCAAAGGTGAGACCATGAAAAGGACTTCAGACAGTTGTGTAGGATAGCGGCATCAGATCCTAATTCTGCATTTGGAATTAGATAACTATACAGACTATTTTGTACAAAACTTAGTACATGTTAGAGTGGTAATCGATAACAATTTCTCAACCTCATATTAGTGGTTAAGTGTGGAGATGGTGTCCATGATAGAGGGAGCCACATTTGAGTTCCACAGTTTGGTGATGGTAAGTTCTGCCACTAGAAATAGGTGAAGTACCTATTATATCAAAGACCAAGTGGAAGATTGTATTTTCCAGAAGGACTGTAAGGATTTACTTTGCCATAAGATACACTATATTGCCAAAAGTATTGGGCTGGCCTGCCTTTACACGCACATGAACTTTAGTTCTTAAGGTTCAATATTGAGTTGGCCCACCCTTTGCAGTTATAACAGCTCCAACTCTTCTGGGAAGGCTGTCCATAAGGTTTAGGAGTGTTTGACCATTCTTCTAGAAGCGCATTTGTGAGGTCAGGCACTGATGTCGGACAAGAAGGCCTGGCTCTCAGTCTCCACTCTAATTCATCCCAAAGATGTTCTATCGGGTTGAGGCCAGGACTCTGTGCAGGCCAGTCAAGTTGCTCCACCCCGGTCTCGCTCATCCATGTCTATATGGACCTTGCTTTGTGCATTGGTGAGCAGTCATGTTGGAACAGGAAGGTACCATCCCCAAACTGTTCCCACAAAATTGGGAGCATGAAATTATCCAAAATGTCTTGGTATGCTGATACCTTAAGAGTTCCCTTCACTGGAACTAAGGGGCCCAACCCCTGAAAAACAACCCCACATCAAAATCACTTTTCCACCAAACTTTACACTTGGCACAATGCAGTCAGGCAAGTACTGTTCTCCTGCCAACTGCCAAACCCAGACACGTTCATCGGATTGCCAGACAGAGAAGCGTGATTCATCACTATAGAGAACATGTCTCCACTGCTCTAAAGTTTGGAGGCCTTTAGCTATTTACTCCGCAGACAGTTGGCGACTTCTGCGCACTGTGCGCTTCAGCATGTGCTGCCCCACTCTATCATTTTAAGTGGCCTACCACTTCATAGCTGAGTTGCTGCTGTTCCTAGTTGCTTCCACTTTGTTATAATACCACTAATAGTTGACCGTGGAATATTTAGTAGCAAGGAAATTTCACGGATGGATTTATTGCACAGGCGGCAACCTATCACGGTACCACACTTGAATTCAATGAGCTCCTGAGAGCAACCCATTCTTTCTCAAATGTTTGTAGAAGCTGTCTGCATGTCTAGGTGCTTGATTTTATACACCTGCGGCCATGGAGGTGATTGGAACACTTAAATCCAATGATTTGGAGGGGTGTCCAAACGCTTTTGACAATGCGGAAAGAACCAGTAGGTAACAATAGGAGTGGAAAGGAGTAGCAATCCATATCTATAGATAAAGATGGTAATTGGATCATCCGATTACCAGTTGAAGGAATATTTCTGGGGTTAAGAAACATGTTCATGGGTGTGGTGACTGGTGTATTACAGCAAACTGGGCAGAGAAAAGCAAAAATAAATAAAAAGGACAAACATAGTTAAGAAATTCCTCTTAACCTCCCTGACGGTATTCCCAAGTGTAGCTCAGGGTTAATTATCAGTGCCAAAAGCGGTAACCCCCAGCTATACTCGGGATTACCCTGCAGCGTTGCTCAGGGATTCCCAGTTTCACTTACCTTGTCCTGCACTCCCGCAATGTGTCCCCTGCAGCGTCCCCGGCCATCTCCTCCGGCCGATGCCGGCATCCGTCTTCCGGGTTCCGGTCCTTGCGAGTGTCGGGACGTACGGGGGGGCTGGAACCGGTAGCAAATTTGAAAATTTTAAAAACTGACATTTTCTAATAAATGAATATCACATACTAAAACATCATTGTTTCAAAGCATTTCACATACATTTTGTCCCTACTGCTTTGTCCTGTGCCCTGCCTGCATTTTTACTGTTTTTTCTGCCTTGAAACTCAGAAATGTCAATGGCATCCAAAAAGCGTCCCTTTATGTCAAAATCGGTTTTAGACCAGCTAGAATACAGCGACAGTAAATCAGAACCACTTGCAGAATTGAGCGATAATGATTCGTGGGGAAATTCGTCATCAGACACTGAAAACAATTCTGCGACTTTGCTCAGTGATGTGCAAACTTGGCGCTCTATTTCAAATTTCAGTGTTTTTGGTTTGATTATATTATTGAATTAAATGTATTATTATTATATTATTATTTTTTATGATTTTTTATTATATAATTTATGATTTTGTGTTTCCAATTTTATCATACCCGAGATATTTACTAGACTCTTGTTCGGACAGATTTCAGTGAGTTATTCCTAAAAATGACAGGCCTACAATAAAAAAATACATATTTCCATGCAAAAAAATGTACCGTTTTGAGCACAGAAATGTGGACATAATCATACCGCTAGGGAGGTTAAAGAAAACCAGGCACAATGGGCAGCCATATCTGCTGTGGTAACGGGGGGGTCAGCTAAAGCTGTAACCAAAAGCAAAGCTCAAGAAAAGCCAACGTAAACTTTAGAGCTCTACACCTCAGAGTCAAAGTGTAGCTAAGACATGACGGAGAGGCTTACATGTTAGCAGAGGGTCTGGTGACGGTGCTCAAGACCATTCGATATCTAATCTCCCTGAGGGGATGGTGCAGCCAGCTGAATATCCATAGGAATTAGTTGCATTGTTTGAACAGTTGGATCCCTTTTTCCACACTGTAGATTGGGACTGTTTTGCCATTCCATGTGATGACAAGTAGTTTTGTGGGAAGACCCCACTTGTAGGGGGTGTTATTTTGTAGAGCTTTTGTCAATGGAGATAATTTATTTTGATTAATAATCACGGTTTGCTGCAATATATCTGCATACAGGGAGATACCGGTAAATTAATCTGGTACCACTGGGTTTTGTTTAGCAGCCACCATTACTATCTCTTTGACATGAAAATAATGAATTTTCGCCAAAGTGCTCAGTCTATTCACAATTCAATGTCGTACAAAGTGGGGATGAGGGCTTCATAAGATGCTGTATGAAAGTAGTAAGTTCAGCTGGAGGAATGGATTCTGTTACGTCCTTAAACTTTATGTTGTTTTGCCGTGAGCAGTTTTCTAAGTCAGAAATCTTGTTCTGTAGGCGTTGAATCTCTGTTTCCTGATCAGTGTAGGCATCCACTAGATCATTATGTGCAGAATAGAGATCTGCCATTTTGGATTCTAAAAGGCTTATCTTATCAGCGTGGGTCTGAACTGTGTCCATTTAGGGAATTAACATATCAGAGATTATGTCTGCTAAGAGAGATCTCCTCATGGAAAGTAACATAGGCTTCATTTTGTGCTCAGAGATCTGCTGGTCTATGGCAGGGAAGGTCTCAATAGAGTATTCAGCCTGCGGGTTCTGTGAGGAGTTTGAGATGGGAGCAGAATGCTGTGTTGGAGAGTAGAAATCCACCTCCCTGTGCTGTTTGGTTTTAGCTGGGCTGCGTGTGCTTGGTGTAGCCGGGGAGGAAATCTCACCCGGTTCCAGCTTGCTCTCCTCACCATGTTTCCCCTGACCTTGTGAGCCTGTGTGTGCAGGCGGGCCGTGCAGTGGGAGTTGGAGCTGGCGCAATCTTGCTTGCCTCTCTGTCCCACCATTGGGCAGACGTCTGTGGCAGCTTGGCGGGTTTCCTCCTCTCTACAGATTTATTACACAGCAAGTTTCTACTATATTCTTACACTAGTGCTATAATAGAGTTCATTGTGTTTTAGTCACAGAGTTATTCACATATGTCAGTTTCAAGGGCACTTTCAGGAAACATGGCATGTCTAAATATGTAATTATGTACAGACATTTGCACATAATGTTAGATTGATTGGAATAGCTTGAGGTTCAAGAACTGGTTTCTCAACAGTCCAGTGTCTAGGAAATTTATCTCAAAGAAAAAAGAATCAAGTATAAACTCACAAAAAAAGGTATACACATGCCTTGACATAGATATTTGTCACATAAATACAACATTTCTGAATAAGAAACCTGAATAATTAACATGGTAGCTTTGGCTGCTGGAATTAACATGATGATTGCTTAAAATTTGTATTATATGTGCTACATTTTCTTTCATTACAAAGCATTGGGAGTATGGATTAGTTATTGAACAGTGAATGTGATGTTAAGGTTCACTATATGAACATTGATAGCTAAGTTTATAATATAATTTTTTTAGTCACCAAAACTCTTTGTAGGGCATTGCAGCAGTATTGGGTAACCAAAAAACACAAACAAAATTACTAGCAGATGCACTGGTTGAAAAGCACAAAGCTGGCTAGTGTGAAAGTTCACAAAAGTCTGATAGTCAAGCACACTGGTTTCTAGAGCTCTCTAAAAACCCATGATCAACATTGGGCCATCAACAAGCCCATCAAAAAGCATTGGCATGTCATGAAGCAAGATCCAACTTTGGGTAAAGTACTCTAGGATGCTCCCTGGATTGTCTTCAGGAGAGCTGCCAATGTTAAGAGTACTACTTCCCCTAGTTGTATGAAAGATGGACAAATTAGGGTGAAAGATATGCCTACATTCCTGAATATGATAGGGTCCTAGAGATGCAAATCGAAAAGGTGTAAGGTCAGTCTGTTCCTGTCACATGGGAAGAAAACTTTTGTTAGGAAAGATGGTTGGCGATTCCACATCGAGCAATTTATTAGTTGTAGCATACAATTTGTGGTTTATGGGCTTAAGTGCCCCATGTGGGCTCTACTAAGTAGGAAGAATTGTACGTGCTGTGTGTGTAACATTTGGGGAGCACCAGTGTTTTATTGAGCGAAGTTGCAATGAGCACACTGTTCCCCATCATTTTTTTTCAGATTCATGGTGAGAGCACTCAGGGGCTAGAGATCTGTGGCATTGAAGCTATACCGATGTCTGTATCCATGGTAGAAAGATTCTCCAGATTATGTATAAGGGGGACATTTTGGATATTCACATTAAATACGATGTCTCCCTACTTTTCAGTTTTTTGGAAATTATGATAAGTGTATGGGATTTAAAGTGGAGTAAGCATTTTATATTGGGTAATTTATATGTACCTGATGTTTTTATAATTTAATAAGGTTGCTAATTTATCTCACTATTTTATATTACATTATACATGAGGAATCTTGCAAACCCTCTCCTGGGTTTGTCCTTTTAAGGCCCAGGAAGGGGGTTGCACTCTGAATCCTATTTAATACATTGTTAGGATGGGAGTAACCTGAGGAAGGAGGCCACGCATTCAAAATGCATTGTCCTAGCAACCAACCGGTGTGTTCCTTTCTCTCTTGCTGGTGTCTTCATTCCATCTGTGCATGGCACTGGCCAGACTGGTCGCATGCACAGCGGGTCCCCAGAAGCCCTGCAGAGCTACGGTGGCTCCTCTGAGGCAGAGAAACTGGGTTTTGATCCAGTGCTCCAGGGATCTCCTCCTCTTGTTTTGGACAGTGACTTTGTTGATCCTGGAGAGGCGGCCAGGAACACCCTAGATGTGCCTGTCAGTTCATCATCCCCTGTGAGTGCATTGGCTGTGTTTTTTTATTCCAATAAAAAAACTGTGTTGCACTAGGGCAGATGTGCTCTTTCTTTTTGCTTGTGTTTTCAGCAGTACTGTCTCTCAGAGATATTCTAAAGGGTACTTTTATGCTCTATATCAGGATTTACACACCTACCCCCAGAAGGTTTATGACTATGCCCACATGAAATTCCTAACCTTCATTGTTAAAGATTCTTAGACCCTAGCTGATGCACAGCAGAACCAAACTGAGGCTTTCAATGTCTCCAGAAGAACGTATACTAATCATGCTATGGTCAGGCATAAGTTCTTTCTCAAGTACCTAAGTTGGCGATTTCCATTTAGGCCTAGCAGGAAGCCAAAATCTTTCTTCAAACTGTCGAACAATTTAAAATTACTTGTGTAGGTACAAAAGTATAAAAATATTTGGTCCACACCAGATTACTGGGTAAAAGTGGAGATGCCAGAATCTGTATCAGCAGTGCATGACAAACAATCAGCAGTACTGAACAATCTAAAGAAAGAAACTGATTGCTTACCGTGCACAGCTGCTACTACTTCTCTTACAGGTACAGTATGACCAATTCTCCCCAACTGATTTTCCCATATATATATATATATGCAAACAGCATCTAAGAAAATAATGAAAAGTGAGAAATTGAAATAATAATTTGTGTGGTTACAGGTTTTTGGCAACAGTTGAATCCATTTCTTCCCTTCCCTTCATGAGACATGTGATGCTATATGGAGCATACCAAAGGGTATCATAATGCTGGAACCAACAAAGAAGTGGCGGTTGGCAATCAGAAATGGATTCCATAAAGACAGCACCTTTCCTCACTGCATTGGAACATTAGATGGCAAACATATATATGCATTCAAATGCCCCTACACAGAGGCTCCAAGTACTTCAACTATAAAATATTTTTCCATTGTCCTGATGACCATTGCTATTATGAAACTACAATTTTGTGTTTTGTTGCTTATGGAAGCTCTGCAGACTTACAAATGTTTGGCAATTTGCCCATGAGAAGGAAAATAATAAAAGGGAGGTTCAAAATACCAGCTGATTGGCCTTTAGCAGAAAATGTATAGCCCTTATCCTATGTGCTAGTGGCTGAGGCATTTTCACTGTCCACTTCACTAATGAAACCATTTCCCAAAGAGGCCTGGGCTTGAAGAAGAAGATATTTAACTATTGCCTAACACAAGCTAGGAGAGGAGTGGAGTGCACCTTTGGCATACTACCCAATAAGTGGATAATTTTTATAGGTACAATGCAATTAGATCCTTCCAATATTAATATCATTGTCAAGAGTATCTGTGCTCTCCACAATTTTGTGTGGTAAAGAGAGGGGTTTATTTTGATTACTGTCTTGTGCATGATCTAGAAACTGTTGATTGGCCTAGTGCACAAGGTACCAATCAGGTGCGGAATGTCAGGGAGAAGTTTGCAAATTATTTTATGTAAACTCTAAAGGATTAGTCAGCGCTAGGGAAAAAAAGAATATTTATGCAGCTAACAAGTAATGTAAGGTGG